AAATGGTTGTCGTGCAGAGGTGGATGGAGAACCACTTAGCAGATGCGAAGACAATAATAAGGAAGCCGTTGGTTTTCACTGAGTTCGGGAAGTCGAAGAAGGATGCCGACCACAGCCCAAGTGTGCGAGACTCGTACACAAATTCTGCGTATGCGGACATCTACAATCTCGCGAGGAACGGAGGAGCGTTCGGCGGGGGTTTGGTGTGGCAAATATTGGCCGAAGGGATGGAGTCATACCACGATGGATACTGGATTGTTTTATCGAAGGACCGATCCACTAATGCGATTGTTTCTCGGCAGTCGAACAAGATGGCTTCTCTCGAACATACTTTGAGTGCTCATCATGGTTGATTAGTTGCAGATAAAGAGATATATAAGAAAGGATTGGACATTAATAGTGGCCAAAATGGTTAGCAATTTATTTGGGTTTTTTGCTGTAAACCATGGTAAACAATAAAGCTTTCCTCTTCCTTTTGTTGCCAAAATATGTTAGTAATTGGTGGCTTAACAATGTCGCTGAGCTTTATGTGGGATTCGATCTAATCCAACTATTAGGGATGTATGCCATAAAAATAGTAACTTATCTCTTACCCGGACCATGAGGCAGCGAACTCTTTTGAACAAGAAAATATTCAGTGATTCGTAACTATCATGTCACCAACCTACATGGTGTGACTGAACCTATGCGGCTCCATTCAAAATGTGACACATGTTCTCTAACCTGAAATAAAAAATTAAAATCGTAAGCGATATTTTCCCTCTCCTCTGGCGTACTTGCGAAAAGGACTGAGCCAAGCAAGCTTGCATTTATTGCTCCCCTCTCTCTCTCTCTCCTTCTCTCTCCTCTTTGTAACAAAATTGATTTCGTTTGAATGGCTTTCCCTTTCAAGTTTGGACTCTCTTCTACAGCAACCTTCCATCCTCGTTCTTCACCTTCGTCCTCATCCTCGTCGCCGTCGTTGCCTTTCCGGCTCCTGCCCCTACTCCGGAAAAAGATTTTGAAACGGAAGAGGCTGTGAGGCTGGATATACCAGTGACATAGTTTTGGGATTCCGGTGGAAAGGCTTCCAAGAACCTTTCTCTGTGGATTTTGAAGCGGAAGCGGAAGAGGCCTCCAAGGTCTTTTCTCTCCCAAGAGCCCCACCGATCGCAGTGGCTGGGTCTTGAGCCCCCTTCGCCTACGCCGTCACCTCCGGAGCCCCATCGGCTCGAACAATAAACTAAAAGGCCTTATACATAATCATATGAACTTGCTATTCGTTACATGGTTGTATAATTTTGCGACAATAGTAAATGCGGGTGGTATATCTTGAATTGAATTCTATAAATAACAAAGAATTTAGTCTGCACTGATGATCATGTATATTGACCGACTCTAAACCTAAAGTGTCAAGGCTTATAGTGATAATTTGGAGTCACCTATTCTCATAATTAGAGTGCCATCGAAAATATTATAATTAGGAAAACAACTCGTAAAAATAATATTACCTCTAATATAATTAGACCGAAGGCTTGATGGTTCAGGATCTGAGCAATTTTAGTAAATCCCTCAATTTTTTATTTGACATGAGTCCCTTGTATACAGAAGGTGCCATTTGAAGTTAATTATATTTTTGATATAATGAGGAAGCTAAATTAATGATTACACATATCAAAAGTAAGTGAAGGAACTTACTAAGATTTGATGGTCCTAAGTCCCTTCCACTTTCCTATATTATTTCTCTTGGCACAATCACTAATTCATTACGAGTCTTATTTTTTTGCGATATTACATAGAATGAGTCTACGGGGGATAAATGCCATCTTCATAAGTTTACTATCTATGAGTCCTTGAATAACATGTGTTACGTGCATGTCCAATTAGATGGTTATGCATACGGAGTATGAGTGTTTACATGATATGGGTGGTTATAGGTGTAGTGCGAGGATGATTTTGAAAATCTGATGCGAAGCAAATGCCTTTTTCCCCAACAATTACTTGTTGTGGGTGGCTGGTTACCTATTAGGGCTGCAATGCATGGATAGTTTTGGAAGTGAAAAAGTGAGACAAATAGGACTTTTTCACAGTATATGATATAAAATAATATAATATTATATATATACACACAGATACATATTTGTAGAGAACATTAAACTATTGAGAAAAATTGTAGGTTTTGATAAATAAAAAATGGTTCAAAACGCCAACCAAACTGAATCGAAAAACAGTTCACGAGTCGAACCAAACCGCAAAAATTGTACTAACTTTTTAATAATATTTTTAATTCAAATGCGAAGTAGCCTTTCCTTTTAAATGCGAAGTAGGTTCCGTTTTCATTTCGCCTGCAACATCGGAATAGCTATGACTTACGAGTATAGAGTTTGGTTTCTTCTTGGGCCCCTAGTGATATATAGAGCCACTTCAAACGTGATAACCGCGTTTCTGTGGTCAATAGAATTTTGAAAGCATAGCAAATTTATCACATCTAGTATGGAATTACTCATAAAAAGAGATAGATTTATCACGTTTGAGCTGATTATACAACCCAAAACCCCGTAGACAATTCGTGGAATTAGCCTCGACATGGACGTCACTCGACAAACCACATGCATCCTGCATCAATTGCTTTCTTTAAAACCCTTTATGCCTCTGATCCACCGCTCACCCAGCGGCTATTTTTCTTTTCATATCGAGATGAAAAATCTATAATGCTTCAGTTGAAACATGACGCTAAAGAGAGTGATGTCAAATATAGTATTTTTCCAAAAATTTAGCACTATTTCCTTATCTTCTCCGAGTCAGGACTCGTGAGCATTATTGTATAGCAGGAATAACGTTAGTGGCATGGAACGTGATCCGTTGAATGCACTTGCTGCAGAGCTCAGAAGCAGTTACCGAAGAGAAATTTATGGCTAGGGCCATAGATGAAAGCCTTCCCCAATTTGAGGACATTGGGAAAGTGAAACATTGTTGTTTGAGAAGGGACCCATTGAAACTGATGATGTCCTGGAATGCCTAGAATGTCTGAGTAAAGTGTAGCAAAGAAGTAAATTTGGTAGAGCTTCTCGATGTTATAATGAAAGACGCAAATTTGTGCATCAGCCTTGTCATTATAACATTGAGTTTATATCCATTTGAGCACTGCTAAACTTACTAAGACTAGTTTACAATATTGGTTCACTAAGGCCTGTTTGGCAACTTACCAAATAGTGATTGATTCTGTTCTTTTGTTCCCAGAATCAGTTTGGGAACAGAAATCCGTTTGTTAAATTTTTTGTGCCCAGAATCAGTTTTGGAACAGAATCAGGAAAAAAAAAAAAAGTAGCTTCTTGATTCTGGAACAATTTTTTTAGAACTGATTCTTCTTGGTTTTTTTCTTTTTTTTGTTGTTGTTATTCTTTGGCCCCGCCACCCGCCGGTCATCGGCCACAGGCTCGGGCCGGCGAGGGTCCCCCTCGCCGCCTGGGCGAGGGCGGCTCGCGGCCTCACCCAACCAAGACGAGGCCGACCTCGCCGTCGCCTGGGTTGGCGGCGGTGAGGGCGGCGGCAAGGGCCACGACGCCCTCGCCGGCTCTGGCCTGTGGCCGGTCGCCGGCGCCGGCAGCCGGCCATGGCTAAGAAAGGAAGAGGAAAGAAAAAAAAAAAAATAAATATTAAAAAATTCAAAATATTATTAATAAAAAGAAATTTTGTGTAGTTACCAAACGCATTTCTGTTTTTTTTCTATTCTAAGAACAAAAATTTTGGACAGTTACCAAACGCTTTCAAATGCTTAGAAATTGTTTCCGGGCACAGAATTAAAAAGAATCATTTCTGCCCGGAATCAGATTCTGGGCACAGAATGGTTGCCGTGCGCAGCCTAAGTGAGGGGTCACCTAGTTTTGCGCGATATTGATCATATTTATTTGCAATGAGACCAAATTCGCACTCGTGATCATGCCATTGGACATACTTTGATTCCAAAACTTAATTTGACAGATGTTTGTGACATAGTGCCTCGGTTTTGCAAGATTAAAATCTAACATCTCATGTTAATTTTTGCGAGCCCTGAAGTTTCCTTAGAGGACTCTGGAGAGTAATTTGCTCTTCGAGAGGAAACCCTAGTCATGAGCTCCCGGGATGGGCTTGTATTCCAAGTAAAAACAAAGTAAATGGGTATAGCCAGGTGGAGGGCGATATTTATATGCTGATGATAGTTTTGATGTAAACCCAATGCACCACGAAGTTGTCCACCTAATTAATCACAGAAAATTAAGTGTAACGAAAGTATATAGTTTTTTTTCTTTGAAATACAAAGTAAAGAACTTGTGATGCACGAATTCGGAGCACGAGTTTTGCCGAAACACGATTGCGATTAACAAATTAGTTTGAAAAGACCTTTTACAGTGTTTTCAACATTTCTCATTTGGAAATTCTGCTGTATTTTGCTTGGGCAACATCAATATGTCACAAGATCAAGAGCATATGCATTTGGGTCAAGCCATCAATGACTTGCCATGTTCTAGCATCCAACTTTCATTGCAGATCCTAAGGAATTTCTGTTGAAATCGATCGCATGCGTTCACGTATCAACCGGAAAGCTTTAGAATACGTAACCAATACATGCTCAGTCGAGTTCGGTCTCTTATCACGCCTGTTGTCTCTTTCCAGCCAGATGCAAACCCACCGCATGCACGGCACCTCCTTCCTCCTTACTCATTTTCCTCTTCAGCTCCTCGCAACTGATGATTTTTCCTCGTTTTCAACACCGTCTTTAATTTTCCTCATCTCCTCGCAACTTATGATTTTTCCTCATTTTCAATACCATTTTTGGTACTTGCATTAACGCCTTCAGTTACTCTCTCTCTCTCTCTCTCTCTCTCTCTCTCTCTCTCTCTCTCTCTCTCTCTCTCTCTCTCTCTCTCTCTCTCTCTCTCTCTCAAGCCTCATCAGACATTTCCTATAAATGCCCACCAACCCCAGCCTAATCCATCCCACCGTCCTCTTCTTGAGACACAACTAGCATTGCATTAAGCAAAATGGCATGCCTGAGGAAACTTAGCTGCATTCTGGGCCTGATTGCGCTGGTGCCTTTAGTCTGTGAAGCTAGGGTTCTAGCGCCCTCAGGATTTGTTCAAGTTAGAGGCACTCAATTCATCCTAAATGGTTCGCCCTTTCTCTTCAATGGGTTCAACTCCTACTGGATGATGAACGTGGCCACCGAGCCGACTGATAGGATCAAGGTGTCTAACGTCTTCCGCGAGGCCTCGGCAGCGGGTCTTAGCGTCTGTAGGACGTGGGCATTCAGTGACGGCGGTGATCGGGCTCTCCAGACGTCTCCCGGTGTCTACAACAAGCGTGTTTTCCAGGTGATTTTTCGCCCTATGTCTTTGATTTTTTTGCGTTAGGGAAGAAGTTTCTGAACTGAGTAAGAGACGAATCTGATAACCACTTCCTCAGGCCCTTGATTTCGTGATCTCGGAGGCGAGAAGATACCGGGTTCGACTCATTTTGAGTTTGAGCAATAACTACCATGACTATGGAGGGAGGCCTCAGTATACTCAATGGGCTAGAAATGCCGGCATCCCCATTAACAACGATGACGATTTCTACACTAATGCAGTTGTGAAGGGGTACTATAAGAACCACGTCCAGGTAAAAATTAACAAGCAATTAAGAGATCAGCAAAAGAATTTGAAGGCTTCTTTTCACTTATTCAGAATTACATGATTGATCATCCTTGAGTACTTTTTTTTTCTCAGAGAGTGCTAACGAGGGTCAATACGATCACCGGCGTCGCATATAGAGACGACCCAACCATCATGGGATGGGAGCTAATGAATGAACCTCGTTGTCAGGTTGATTATTCTGGCGATACTGTAAATGTAAGCGACGGAGAATGTTCATTTTTCCGTGACATTTGAGAATTTGGTCCGTTCATTGTTTACTAGTTGTAGTTTTGTGGATAAAATAAAATTCAGGACTGGGCTCAAGAGATGGCATCCTATGTGAAGTCGATTGACAATAAGCACTTGCTGGCAATCGGCATGGAAGGTTTCTACGGAGATTCCATGCCGGATCGGAAGCAGTATAACCCAGGCTACCAAGTCGGGACGGATTATATCAAGAACAATCTCATAAGAGAGATCGATTTCGCGACAATCCATGCATATCCTGATATTTGGTAATGTTTTCGAAGTGTATTGTCACATTAAATTTTGCTGCAACAGAATACTTTGGTCCAAATTTTCAATCATAGTTCAAGCTAGAAGCTTAATTAATGAAAAATCATTTGCATGAGCATGAAATATGCACAAGTTGAGACGAGAATTGTTGTTTTTGTCGACACACAAATTCTCATAAACATGGTGTGCGAACATTATGCTCCAATCGACAGGTTGTCGGGTCAGGACGAGGATGCTCAAACGGCATTCGTGCAGAGGTGGTTGGAAAGCCACCAGGTCGACGCGAAGGCGATCATAAGGAAACCGCTGGTCTTCACCGAGTTCGGGAAATCGAAGAAGGACCCCGACTACAGCATAAGCGTGCGGGATGCGTACATGAACACCGTCTATTTGGACATCTACAACCTCGCGAGAAACGGAGGGACCATCGGCGGGGGCCTGGTGTGGCAGATTCTGGCCGAGGGGATGGACTCCTACGATGATGGGTACGAGATCGTACTATCAGACGAGCCATCCACAAATGCAATTATTTCTCAGCAATCAGCGAGAATGACATCTCTTCAACGCACTTTGGGTTAAGTAATTGAAGACGAAGAGCTATGGACGCAGCGATTAGCGTTCAGATAATGAAAATCAAACAGTTCTTAGCTAACGAGATGCTGAATTTTCCTTAGTGAACTAGGCTGAGCAGCGACGCTTGAATTATTATGTCCCTGATGAGTAGTGTATCGAACTTTAGTTGAACAAACTTCTTATGGTTTTAGATTTATCCGCATCTTAGGCTCCGTTCGTTTGGCGGAAAATATTCTCCTTTTGGAAAATATTTTCCTGGAAGTCATTTTCCTGGAAAATATTTTTCTGGAACATAATTTTCCGGTGTTCGGCGACCAATATGAAAAAGTTTCGGAAAATATTTTTCGCCGGCGACCGGCGGCGGGCGGCAGCGGCGTCCGGCGGCCGGCGACCGGCGGCCGGCGACCGACGGCCAACGTCCGGCGTCCGGCGGCGGCCGGCGACCGATGGCCAACGTCCGACATCTGGCGGCGGCCGGCGACCTTAGTGAAGAAGAAGAAGAAGCTCCGGAAAATGATTTCCGCTTTTGAAGAAGCGGAAGTCATTTTCCGTAGACTTAGGCTATTTTGTGAGGGGGGAAGGAAAATATTTTCCCACGGAAAACGTTTTCCGCCCTCCGAACACCGGAAAACCCTGAAAACATTTTCCAAGAGAACATTTTTCTCATTTTCCTAAGCAAACCAAACGTTGTGAACCAAACGTTAGAAATCATTTTCCAACGTTTGGTTCGCTTAGGAAAATATGTCAATGGAAAATGTTTTTTCAGTCAATGGAAAATGTTTCCTACCAAAACTTAAATTCAGAAAAATGATTTTTTCTTTAAAAAAATTGGAAATCATTTCCCAAAGTATGACTAGGCATTGGTGTTTGGACCAAAAACTCTGCACTTAGGCATCGGAACTCCAATGCTCATTCCTGAGCCCTTGGCAACGGGGCTAGGTCCCCGGCGCCCAAGCCTAGGTCCATCGAGATTGGGCCCCAATCTCTCTAAACTGTGCCCGAGACCCCGGCAATAGTACCCGAGTCCATCGACACCAAGCTTATGACACCGGTGCCCGGGACGTTAGGCTCGGAAATTGCTGACATGGACATTTACCGTTTTACGTGATATGGTTGGAGCTAACGTGGATAATTTTTAATATTTTATTTTAAAATTTTTAGAATTTTTTAATTATTATTTTATATATTATTATTTTTCTTCTTTTCTTTCTTTTTCTTTTTCTTTTTCTTTCTTCCTTTGCCGGTCTCTAGGCCTCAAGGCAACCAACAGAAGAAGAAATAAAAATAAATAATAAATAAATAGAAATTTAAAAAATTGTAAAATTATCTATGTCAGCACCAACCATGCTAGTAGGACGGCTGGTGCCCATGATAGTAATTTTGGTGATTTTCCCATCCGAATAGTGTACGTCTATTTAAGAAAATCAATTAAGATTTTTCTTACCAAACAACGGAAAATATTTTTCAGTTCATTTTCACGTTTCAGCCGAATATCATAAAATATTCCTAAATTTTTTTTTCCATAAATGTCACATTATTTGCGAAACAAACAAAGCCTTAATCATATATCTAAATGTTCCAACTCTTCTCTCTTTTCAGAGTGATTGTTTCTAATTAGCAAATATCCTACATCGCTTTGTCCATGTCTATATACTTTTTGTAAGGGAAATTTTCAAATAAGGGTTCGAAGTGCCCTCATTTTCTCAAACAATGATCTGAAGTGGACACTGTTTCAAATAAGGATCTAAAATGCCCTCATTTTCTCAAATAAAGGCCTATAGTGAACCTTGTTTCAAATAAAAGTTTGAAGTGATCGTGTCAATCTCAAAAAAGAAACTCACATCACCAGGGTTAAGGGCATTTTCTTCTTTTAATTTTTTTTATTTTTTTCCTTTTTTTCTTTTCTTTCCATAATAAAACAAACTCAAAATATTAGCTTAAAAATTAAAAAGAAAATACAAGCAGCCCTCCCGCTTGTGGCCGCTACCCCATCATCGGTGGGGCAGCGGGGTCGTAGACAACCCTTGCCAGAACAAAGGGGGTAGCGACCCTCTCCCCGGTCTAGGCCAGGGTTGTCGACCCTTGCTCAAGTTTGAGGGAGGGCCGCTAGACTTGTGCGAGGGCAGCGAGGGTCATCGGCCCTCGTTGAGGCACTGCACCACCGGTTATGGGGCGATGACCACAGGCAGGACGGCTGGGGCGTGTATTTTCTTTTTCTAATTATCTTTTAATTTTTAATCTACTTTAACTAAAATTTATGTTAAAATTGCTTTCGAAAATTGTCACGCCCCGTACCCCACAAAGCGCGAGCATCCTACCTCCAGTCGATTATAGTGCGACGTCCCAGGAAACGTCGCCGACCCAACGCCCAACAGAGAACAAGCACAAGCGGAAGAAATAAACAAACCCTGACAATAATAATACGAAACAATGGATAGCACGACAACAATCAATCGCTACTAAAAATATGTACACTTTATATTACTATAGAAAACCTTTTTACAATATTCGTTTATACAGCAACAGCAGTCAACACTCATAATAGCAGCCTCTAGGTCAAAAGGGTCAGTGGCTAGGGGTACTGGACGGGACTAAGACGGGCTTCAGTCAAAAAGGTGTAACCCGCTTTACTTAGGAGTATTGCTAACCTAGGGACCCCAGTCCGGGTCCAATTTCGTGACTAAAACTCGCTCGATTTCCAATTTTAGGGTCTCTCACTAACGGGCGGCTGTCTAGAGGTTACGTGTATCGACCTAGGGTTATCCGAGTCATGACGGTCCTGATCATTGAGAGAATGAGAAATTATCACCAATCCCAGAGGTCACGATCGTCCGGTTTAAGTTCAGGATTGGTTGGCCACGTGCACTCTCGGTCATGCAGAATCACCTGCGATCCGATTGTACATCGTTGGCCTTGGCCAAACCAAGTCCGTTACCTTTCCTAAGATTGATCCACATTGGTTTATAATATTTGTTGACACCTAAATTTTGCCCAAATCATTTAGGGTTTTATCGCATAAAAATTAGGGTTTAATCTTTTAACCCCTTAACAAAAATATTTTCATTAAATTGCATGCCACATAGACATTAGGTGTATTTGCATTAACATGATCGATTAGAACATATTTTACTTAAATTTCAAAAAAAAAAAGGGTTTCCGAGCCAAGTTAGTCGATCCATCCTCTCGTGTGGCCCATCTAGCTCTTCCTTCTTTTTATTTTTCGCGTGGGCCGGCCCATTCCTCCCGGGCCCGGCCCGCGCACTGTTCAAACCTCCCCCCAGTCAACATTTCTGAGCGTACGGGGGGGAGAAGACGGGGAACAGTGGCAAAACGCCACAGCCACAGCATCAACAGAGAGGCAGGAGCAGAGGCAGAGCAGGGGCGCGGGGGAGTAGGCGATCACCCAGCGTGATCCGCGGGTCGGGGCCAAGCCGGCAGCGCGGGCTGGCGGTGGCAGGGGCCATGCGCGCCTGCCGGCCGACCTTAAAGCCGAGAGGGAGATCGCAAGAGGGAGGGGGGAGAACGGACAGACCCGAGAGAGAGAGACCCGAGAGAGGCAGTTCCGAAGAGAGAGCGAGAGGCCGAGGCGGAGGGGTCCTTCGCCGGCGACCGCCGTGCCCAAGCCGTGGCCGAAGATCCTCTGTCACGGTAGGTCCGGATCCGGGCACTCGCCGGATTTTACTTTGGTTTGGTCTGACCCGGGGCCGATTTCCCGAGGACTTCGGCTCGGAGGCGTGCGAGGCGACCGGACGTAGTCCGATCTGTCGAGTTCGCCGCTGTTCGCCGCCGCCGAGCCGGATAGGGAGTGCCACAGCCCCCCTCCCCTGTTTTTCTTTCTTCCCCTGTTTCTGCCGTTCGGTCTTGTCTTGGGCTCACTGGCCGGAGCTCGCGGCCGTCCGGCTTGCGCGAGTTCCGGCCAGTGACACCTCGGGCTCGGTCCTACTGCTCCGCGTGTTGTTGTGTGTGATTTTCCGGCGAGTTTGAGCCTCGATCGTGCCAGAAATCCATCGTTTTTTGCCGCGCGTTCCAACTGTTTGTTGTTGTGTCTGAACCGAGCTCCTTGAATTTGTCTATGTGCTGATGAGTTTTCTGTGCTGGAACACCTGGTGGTCTCGGTTGGTCGCCGGTTGCCACGAGCGTGACCGCGGGAGGAGGCGACCGGCAGTCCCTCGCCGGGACTTGGCTGATTCGCGGCTGTCCAGCCCTTCGTCAGGGCTTGGATGGCCTCGGTCGATCACCGGTCACCACGGCGGTGACCCGGGTGGAAAACGCTCGCCGCCCCGAGGGGCGGCGATGCGGACCTAGGCGGGGCGCCGGCCGCGGAGGCCGGAGCTAGTAGGATCGGCGGCTCGCCGTCGGGTGGCAACCGCGAACCAGGTTGGGCGACTCAGGGTGGCGGCCAGGAATCGGGTCGGCGACCGGTGGTCGGCTCGGGCGCACGGGCTGTAGTCGGGTAGGGTTTTTGGTAATCCGGGGCGGCGGCCGCATTTTCCGGGTCGGGTATGGGTCGCGAACCGGGTAGGGTTTGACTCTAGGGTTTTATTTAGATGGGCTGAAATAGGTAGTGGGCTGGAGTGTTTAGGGTTTTGGTGTTTTAATTTTTTGATTGGGCTTTAATTTGTTTTAAATTTTTTTTTTTTCCGGGCTGGGCCCTCTTTCTTAAAAAAAATTTCGCCACACCGGGCTCAACAAATGAGCCCGGTTTGGTCGTGGACCCGGGCCGGCGCGCCCGGGTCAGTCTCGATCCGGGTCAGATGTGGAGATCCGACCCGGATCCGATTTTTATATTATTTTATTATTTTAATATTAAAAAAAATTAATTAAAAATTTATTTGAAAAAAAATATTTTATCCGGGTCGGATGTGGAGATCCGACCCGGTCTCTTTATATATTTTATTTTATTATTTTAATATTAAAAAATTTCTCAAATTTTTTTTTTTTTTTTTTATTTTTTTAAAAAAATTTTTATTTTTTTTTAAAAATTAAAAAAATTTCGAAAAATCAAA